AAATCGGAAATCGTACTTTTAATCGAATTTCAAGAAGTATGTTGATAGTCAATTATGCAAAGAAACCAAGATACTATTCTAGAATACCAATACAAAAGAGATTTCTCTCAGAAAATTAGAGTACCTAGTATACCTACCTAATGAAAATTATCTTAAAACCTAGATCGTATTATACCGCCTGTTTTAATGGCTATGGTATGAAGTGATTAATAAAACAATAGTCAGAAGACAATAGTAAAGTGATCTAATTCGGTGGATTGACAACCTTCACATTGGTTACGTAAATTACGTCATAGATCTGTGCGCGCGCCGTGGGTTACAAACATGACGCCCCGAGCGGCAGCAAATTGATTCAATACTCTCTCGTAACGTCTCCGGTATATATTGAGCTAATGACTATGTTAATTCATCAGTTCCACCACGGAAGTCTTAGGAGAAAGAACAAAATGTTTGCTAAAGTGAGTGTGTGATATCATAATAATAGAAGTACACAATACAACACTTATTTGTTTTAGAAATACAAATTAACAGTTTTTATTGTTTTAGGTGATAGTGCTTACTTTTGTTGCTGCGGTTTTGTGTGAGGAACATGGATACTCGCTACGGAATCATCATGGACCTCCTAAGAGTTACAGGCAATATTATGAACATGCTCCCATAAAGGTTCAAGAAGAAGAAGGTTCCCAAGAGGTTCAGTATGCTGCTGCTGCTCCTGAATCCCACGGACAAGGAGGACACGCCTATTCTTCTCAGAGCATTATCCGTCTTGCCAGTCAAGGAGAGTCCCAAGAGTCCCACAATGACCATGTAGCTCCCGTATACCAATATGTGCAGGAAGAGGAACAAGTGCGTCAAGAATCTCCTGTACGCGACGAGACTCCAGCTCAACATTATCAGTCCGTTCAGTTTGGTCCCGCTCAAGAGCACCATGAAGTTCCCGTAAAGGCTCAAGAACATTACGCTCACGGTCATGAAGGTTTGAGCTACTACCAAGGAGCTAATGCTCACGACAGTTTGAACTTCCACCATGGCGGTCAACTCCACACTGCTGTGCATCACCCTGCCCCAGTGCACCACGCTGCTCCAGTGCACCACGCTGCTCCAGTGCACCACGTTTCTGCAGTGCACCACGCTGCTCCAGTGAACCATGTTGCTCCAGTACATCATGTTGCTCCCGTTCATCATTCAGCTCCCGTTCACCATGCTGCTCCCGTTCAACACGCTGTTCCGGTTCACCACGAAGTACCCGTCCATCACGCAGTACCTGTCCATCACGATGCTCACGCTCACGATTTCCACGACGAGCCCATCGACTATTATGTAAGTACACAACATTATTGAATATAAAACACTTATTTCCGATTCAAAGTTTTATGGTGACTTTCCATTCATTTATTCCAAACACAAATTACACCGTTTAGACCACGGTAGTTGAGTAGACGCATTTAAATGGACTTGTTTAATACAGATAACTTCTTATCATTCTAGGCGTACCCTAAATACCAGTACGAGTACAAAGTAGAGGACCCTCACACTGGAGACAACAAATTCCAGCATGAATTCCGTGATGGTGATGTTGTGAAGGGAGTGTACAGTCTTCAGGAAGCTGATGGATCCATCAGAACTGTTGAGTACAGCTCTGACAAACACACTGGGTAAGCTTAAAAGTTTCTTAATTATCTTACTACACCCGTCACCATACATAATAAGGCCCTTAGTTTGTCAAAGGATCAATCACTACTTCCTAATTTCAAAATTAATTTCATAAAAAATAAAAATATGGGAACTTGGGAACTTGGTGAAACTATATGCAAGTCTAACACAATGCACTTTCATTGAATTCCTTCTAAATAAGATAGTACAACTTTGATAGGTTTAACACTGTTCAATTCAAAACCAATAACTTGTAATAGATATCTAGTTAGAACGATCTCGAGTCTAGACGTAGTTCATTTTTGACTACTTTATGCGCCGAGTCACGCACTGCCTTCGTATTGTTTAGCTTTCTACTTCGTATCATCACCTGAGGCCGTGTTATTACGTGTTAATGGAATTTTAGAGGCATCATTGTTGTTATGTAAGAAAAAAGGAAATTCAGTAAGGAAAGACAATACCATTTCACTTCCGCAGAAAAAACGGTAATTTTTAATTGATTCTGACATGACAAAGCTAGTTATTTCTTAATCCAGTAATTCTGTTATTTATTTTTTTATATTCGATTCACATATTTATTGATAGCATAATATTCACATAAAATTACACAACTGAATAAAGAAAATATAAAAATTATTATTTACAGAGAGCATCAAAAGCTTTAATAATCTAAGTACTTTTTTGTGAATATGCTAAATTTTGGAAATTTTTAGAAAACTTATTTTTAGCTGCTAAAAATTAACTTTTGCGATGAGTTTGAATTTGAGGACCAGATGATTATTTACTTAACTACATCAAGTACTAAAAAGAATATCATTTAACGTAAACTTACATCTTTTAGACCTGCACTTATTTTCATGATCATCATTATTAAAAAGAAAGTCATCTCCTTCACTATAGAGGACTATTGTATTTAAACCTATTCCTTTTTATATTACAGATTCAACGCTATCGTGAAGCACTCCGCCCCTGGTCACCAGGTCCAGATTGAAAGCCATCATCAGAACTAAGACAAGACTGATTACTTGTTCTGCTGTTTTTTAGTCTTTATTGTTACTAGATGTGTACTTGCCTACTTATATTATTATTATTATTATTCTATACATAATAAAGCTTATTTAATATTTTGAACTATATCTCCTGTTTGATTTTTATGGGGATGAGAATACTTATACTAACTCTTTACTTATCTTTCCAATCTATGTTCGAATTATGAAATAGGTGTAAAAACTGCCATAATGTAATCGTTTGTCGGAAATCAGTTAAACTTTTTTTTTTAATATTGCTTAAATACTTATTGTGTTACTTCTTGTTGTTTAAGAGTTCATTTGTTTCTATGTTAGAACATTTTCAACAAAAATGTAATGTACGCAACATTTCTCTATTGCATTACTTATGTTTTATTAGAATTCAATCACAAGAAATTGCGTCAATGAAATTGAATCAAGTGCGTTATTATGACAATATCAGAGCAATACAGAATTATGTAATGATTGCTGATTTTTCAATAATGTTGTCATTAAAATATCATGTAACTTAAATAAAATCAGTAATTTAATGTTGGTAAATTTAAAAGGGATTCATTAATGTAATACAGTTTAGGCCACGCACAAAACTTGGCTAATTGAAAATGTTAGATTAAAATGTATGGCACAATACCTATCACTGGCTAGCTGATCTGCAAATAGTGATTAATCTATGTTTCATAGCAGTTTAAAAGTCAATCGACGTTTCTCAAATCTTAATATATTTCAGCCTAGTTACTTTCATATTTTTATCAATTTTGAATATGTTGCAACTATCTATTAACTCAGCCCATTGAACCACACAATGTTTTATATAATTTAATTTACGAAAATTGAAAAAGTATTCAGAACAAACTATTTGTCTGTATAAAGATACACACGATTAGTGCACACAAAGTGATAGCGCCGTGATAGGAAGTGTCACGTAGTCTGCCGTGGAACCTTTCGGACCAAACTTTTTCTTGAGGAAGGTCATCTAATTATTAAGCGCAACACGCGCTACAAACTACGTTAGTTTTATAGTATGTGTCTAACTTTTTCTGTTATTATTATCTACTACGATACTTTCGCCTTACTTGTTTAGTTTGCCAACATAACATAACATAACATCACGCCTTTTATTCCCGAAGAGGTAGGCAGAGGTGCATATTATCAACGTGTCGCGGGTTCGATCCCGCAAGGAACAACTCTTCTTGATCCACAGATTGTTGTTCCGGGTCTGGGTGTCATGTGTAGGTATGTGAACTTATATGTTTGTAAACGCACCTATGACACAGGAGTCAATCCTAGTTTGGAGCAATGTTAAATATATATATATATATATACCGGGCATAATACCAGACTCCGTGATACTACTGATTCGAAATTTTTAAAAATCCAGTAATAATTTGCACGACCTGGGAATCGAATCCGAGACCCCTTGCCCGGTAGTTGCACTTGCGACCACTCAACCAACGATGCCAGTAGAAAATAGTGTATTTTTATTTACACGTAGTATTTAAAAATGTAACTATTATTATACTATTTTATATAGAATATATACATCGAAATAAGTAGATATGTACATTATATGTACATACGTCGTGGTGGCCCAGGAGGTTTAAGACGCCCACTTCTTATGCATGAGGGTGCGGGTTCAAAACCTACCAACGGCAAGTACCAATGTGACTTTTTCCGAGTTATATGTACTTTCTAAGATTATTTAGACACCACTGACAAACGGTGAAGGAAAAACATCGTGAGGAAACCTGGACTTATAATTTCTAATTATAAGTTTCAAATCGCCAACCCGCAAACCCATTTAGCGCCGCCGTACTCGATTGAGTACAGTTAATTTTTGTAACCTAACTTTTATCTTCTAGCGGTTTTATTAGTTTTGTTGGGTAACTTATTTTTTTAAAAAACCAATTAATCGAAATATTTTATTTTATAAGGGTAGATATGATAATTGTGGCAAAGTGAGCATCGTATATTGATGAAACATAACGCCACTGCAGGTGATTGTGCTTTATTATAATTTACGATAGCTAAATGTAATTTCCAGTTCATTCAACTGAAATATTTTTATTTACTAATCACTATTTTACCAAAATTATCACAGAAAATAAGTAAATTGTAAGTATTTGTGAAAATTAGTTGAAGCAAACATTGCTGTACTCGATCAAGTACAATGGCATCATACATATTAGAAAAACCTCTAATTTGCTTACAATTACTAAAAATGTCGTCCAAACCTTATACGAGATTATTAACAACTATGGAGGGTTAGAAGAAGCTGTTCAAGCTATTTTTGGAGATACTGATGACGACGCCGACTTTGATATGGCCATTATACCTCCACCTCCAAGCGTAGTGACGGATGAAGAAGAAGGACCTGATGAAAACTTAGGAACTACTTTACTACCTCGAGACATTCCCGGAAGTATTGAAGTGTTCATACATAACAATAAATCAGATGATGATGACAGCAGTGATGATGAACCGTTAGCCAATAAGCAACTTCGACGTGATCAAGAGGAAGGAATCCCATCATGGCATAAGTGCGAACCAACTGATTCTAAAACATCTAAAGAAACTTCTGAATTAGATCGAAAAAGAGAAGTTGTCAAAGAAGAACTCAAAGATTTGTATCCTACCCAGATATTTGAAAAAATATTTGATGAAGAAGTCATTGAACTCATTGTTTCTAACACCAATTTATATGCGAGACAAAATAACAGGCATTCATTTCAGTTAGATGCAAACGAGCTGCTTATGACTATCGATTCGACAGAACAAATGAGTTATTGCTGGTTAGATGGAAGGATAACAGCGTTTGTACCATGGTAACTAATTACGACACGATTGAACCACTAGGTGTGGTAAAGAGGTGGTGTCCTATAAGGCGTTAAAAAGTTGATGTAGGTATTCCTCGTTTGTTTCAAAATTATAATAAAGGAATGGGTGGAGCAGATGAACTTGACCAATGCATATCTCTCTGCAGAATAGTTATTCATGGAAAAAAATGGTGGTGTGTATTATACACCTATGTATATGATGGACATGGCTGTAGCTAATGCCTGGCGTTTATTTGTTCTAAGCCACGATGATCACATGGACCAGCTGTTGTTTAGACGCAATCTTGCAAGGTATTATTTGGGTCAACCAACAAAAGGCAGAAGTCGCCCCTCATCTTCAACAGTGCCAGGTTTAGCGAACAGTGGCTTGGACCACTTCCCTCAAAAACTTGAGAAACAATTGCGTTGGACGGTTTGTCATGCAAGAATTGGATGGCAATGTAAAACCTGCTTGAAGACTTTGGGTATAGAAAGAGAGTGCTTTGAAATTTTTCACCGCTAAGTGACCAGTGTACTCGTACGAGTACACCCTTCTAAAACCGTTCAAAATAGTAAAACGTTTCTTTTTTGTTTCATTCGTATTCAATTATGTCACTAATAATTAAAAAATAAACGATTTGAATTTAAAATGCTGCTAGTTTAATTTTGGCGTTTAATGGGTTAAGCAAGCGTGGTGATTAACGCTCTAACCTTCTCCGTGTGAGAAGAGGCTTTGCTCAGCAGTGGGCATTTATAGGCTGTTGATGTACATTCGGTGATAACGAATTGAGATTAATTATTCTTGACACCGACGACCTAGTTGGCGATCACGACCACTCTATATTATTAATATCAATTATTAAATTTAAATGATATTATATAATTGTACTCACATAATTATGTTTGTTTACCATCGTGTGAAAGGAAGGCGGACAGATACCTACCTACATTGGTTTAATTTCCTTTTGGTAATGAATTATATACCAGGATGTTATCATTTAGTTTTGAAATATACTTTTATGTATAACCTAGTCCACTGTAACTTCTAATCTGTTAAGGTTTGATATTCAAGTTATGATTATTCGAGTGACAATTTTTTTTGTACTAGTAGGTTCAGTTTTATTTATAGCTACATAATTATTAGCAGATTTTATGAGTAATAAAAGACGGTCAATATTTAGATCCACTAGACTAGATAATATATTTTAACAGTTAGAAACAATATAAAGAAGATAACATATTATCAGGTACTGGTGAGGTTGTTCTCTTAGTGATGGTACTGGTGTTCATGACCGTGCTTGGTTTCAGTCTTCACAACCGCGTTGAAACTGGAATTAAAAGAAAGTTTTACAATAATGGCATAATATTAAATAACTGATTCAATAATCGAGAACACAGATAACATGAATGATATTTAAATAGTTATGGGGTGGCGAAATTCTGTTAAGGCAGTATATAATCGACATCTAATCCTTCGTTGTGAATTATAAGCAGAACATGAAGGCTTGAGTTCTACCAGTCAGTTCAGCATAATTAGTAGACAGACACAATTACAAATTCATTAAGTAGATATATAGATGTTCAAAAGAATCAAAAGTGCTTTCATGTATTTATGGATTATGTAACTAAATCTATGAATGAATTGCTTTTAAAGCGTAGATTAGCGAATAAAAATATGTTTCATACCCGTTGTGCTTGTCAGCGGAGTACTCAACGGTACGGATGGAGCCGTCGGAGTCGTGCAGACTGTACACGCCCTTCACGTTCTCACCGTCACGAGACTCGTGCTGGTACTTGTTGTCACCGGTGTGGGGGTCCTCGATTTTGTACTCATATTCGTATTTGGGGTGAGCCTGGAAGTAGATTATTTCAACTATATTAATTATATTATGCAGTCTAATAACAATTTCTACTCGTCATTATTCCTCTTTGATCAATTTGTTCACTGTGGAGTTGAGATTAAATGGTTGAGTCATAATACTGAACATTTTTTTACACCAATGAATAGATAATATTACTGGTTATATTGCAATTTAACGTTTGATAAAACGTAATCATCATAACCAACTGTAATAACCTTAATCCAAATACTGATTGAATAAAAACGATTCTCAGAGTTTTAGTAGACAAGCTAAGGTAAGACAACATTATTTGACATCAAAATGTCTGAAAACTAAACTTACGTAGTAGTCAACGTGGTGTTCACCATGGTGGTGTTCCTTCTCGTGATGAGCAGACTCCACGTGGTGTACAGCGGGAGCTTCATGGTGTACAGCGATGGGAGCTTCGTGGTGGACAGCGATGGGTGCAGCATGGTGGACAGCCACGGGAGCCTCATGATGGACAGCAATGGGAGCCTGGTGGTGCACGGCGATGGGGACGTAATGGATGGGCTGCTGGTGCACAATATGTTCCCCACCATGGTAGCCTTGGCTTATTTCATGATGTCCTTGGGAAGCACCGTGGTAGCCCTGGCTAATTTCCTGATGTCCATGAGAATCGCCATGGTAGCCCTGGCTTATTTCTTGGTGTCCATGAGAATCTTCGTGTCCGTGGGAGATGTCGTGGCGGATGATGGACTGGGAGGAGTAGGCATGGCCCTGTTCATGACCATGCTGGTGATGGTCCTGGGCACATACCGCTGCGACGGCGATGACGAAAACGATCTGAAATAGAAAGATAGTATTTGCTATAAGTTTTTTAATTAATAGTGCTACGAATTTTTTAGAGACGCTTTGATTTTTATGGTTAGAAATGTGAATTACATGAAAGATTTTTTTTTCACTTTTCGTACAAATATTTTGTAAATTCAAAAAGGTACTTACTTTAGAGAACATATTGTGCGTATATGTTGTGATACACTTAAAAATTAAATGATATAATTGGAGAACCCAAGAGCCTTTTTATACTCAAAAACAAGTGCGTAAAATCTTTTCTTTGAATCGGTTGATTGTTACGTGTTCACTGAAAACTGGTTCCGTTTTTATCACTTGTTCTGTAACCATTGAACTTTATTAAACGAAATGAAGTTAATGAGAAGTCGAACGAAATTCACAAGAAATGTAAGTACTTAAGGAACTTTCGATATTAACAAAATTACCAAAATATAAGACTGTATTTTGTCTAAAATTTAGACTAATGGGTAGGTATCAATTGTTTTCAAGTGCCAAAAGTACCAAGGGCCCTTTCATAAAATAACAAGGCAGAAGTATATGACAAATATTATATTTAATTTACATTATTATCAGTCACAAAAACCAGAGTTTCTGCACAGCACCCCGCAAGCAATCGTCTAACGTTTCACAAAATGGACGAAGTTTGAAAAATAAAATAATAATAAAAAAAAACACGAAAACTTACACACTACAAGAAAATATAATACAAAAGGTTCTAATGCTTTATAAATAGATGAATGAAAATGTAAAGTTCTATGCTAATTTGGGCCTAAGTCCCTGTGCAGATTGTGAAACGGTTAGGGAGTAAGCACACTAGTCTGTAATCGTTCATTATACAATGCTCTTCGTTGTCGCATTCCGTCCATGCTTAAGCTAAGTAGAAATAAATAGGTGTCGTCGGTGTTGGTCTAGGCTAAAGGGTCGTTGGAGTTTAGCCGTGGAGAAGGTGGCCATGGCCAAGGGCTGGGGCAGCGACCACTGCGTGGGCAGCAGGGTGCGCAGCGTGGCCGTGCCTGCTGACTACAGCGTTGAATCTGAAATCATAAACATTATTTTTATTGCAAATCATTACAATAATAATACGCCAGCAACATTTCAAAGGGACGGATTTAACCATACAAATATTAGTAGCTATCAAAACAGCATGTTCTATCTATGGTGGAGGAGGATTTAAAATTGACATAAATGTTTAGATATGGGACTTATTATTACCTAAAAATCGCGCGTTACTGATGTGAATACACAAAGAAAAGCTCTACTGGTTTTTAGCCACAGAGGGGCTCTTCCTCATAAGCAGCGTGCTCGGCCACGGCAATTCGCGCAGCCTACACAGTACTAGTAAAGCTTTTAGGTTAGCGCAGGCTACGAGTATAGCTATTACTACTAGTAGAGCTTTTCTCAGTATCACGTGAGTAATCCGTGATTTTTAGTTAATTTAGTATGTTTTACAATTGTTATTATAAAAACATGGGGACTTAAATCTGGTGAACAGTAGTTGTTACAAAAATATATGACATTATGCTGGTCAATTTATTGTCTTACCCATTGTGGTCATCAGCAGAGTAGTTGACAGTGCGCACGGTGCCGTCAGGTTCAACAAGAGAGTACTGGCCCTTCACGACGTCCCCATCACGGGCTTCCCATTGGCTCTTCTGATCGCCGGTGTGACCGTCAGTGACACCGTAATTGAATTGGTAGCGGGGGTGGGCCTGGAATTTTTAAGGGATACGTATTCATCACACTGTTACGAATATTTGGGTTCTTTCTTCTTCTTCATTATTGTACAACATTTGCACTAAATGTAACTTACATAAACTTCAACAGGGGCAGCGGCGTGCGCATATGGTGCCCTGTAAACCGGCGCATGTGCAACCACGGCTCCGTGACCTGGAAGCGACCTGATGTCAGTAAATCTATCATAGTAATTCTATTAACTTTTTATTCATCACGTAATTTCGAATTGTCATAGGGTAGTCAGCAAACATTAGGAAAGATTTGATTACACATTTAATATGTACTACAACTGTGCTCCTCTACCTTTATTCATCAAGAAAAAGGTATAAAACAATGAAGATTAACTTATTGTTAACTTATAAAACTCCACTGCAAGGTAATAAGTTAACTTTCTATACTATACCTAATCCATATCCTAATGCAGGTGCCGCAATAGCGGGTGCGGCAGCGTAACCTCCGTAGCCATGTGCAAGGGCAGGGGCGCCCAGCACGATGCTCTGTGACGACAATGCGCCATGACCCCCAGCGATCAAACCTGCGCGCGCGACGCCTACTAGCGCGCATGCGAACAACACCTGCGATAAAAGATTTCGTTGTATTTTGAATTTTTTCAGAAATTGTCGTTTTGTTATTTTTATGCATTGTTAATTAGTATACCTAAATAAAATATAAGAAAGGAACGAAATGAGTCATTCTTTAGCTATTTTATTTTAATTACACTCATAAAGATAGGAATTCATAGAGATAGGTACAAGACTTTAATAGATAAACAATTGCAAAATGGATATTTGTTTTCTTTTGGTAACTATGAAAATTTCCTAAGTTCTACAGTAAAGTAAAAAATATTTTTTTAAAAATGCTAATTTCACTGCTTTTTTTAGTTACAATAAAAGTACCAAAATGTAATATTAACTTCAGAACTAAATACCACCATAGCACAAAACCACCATAAAATGATAACTTATCACCAAGCACTCATGAACTTAAATCACTTTACCTTAGCGAACATTATGTAAGATTTGTCTAAGTTCAAATGGTTCGTTACTGTTAGCACTAGGGCTTGTTGTGTGCCGAATTCTAAGATACCGGGCGTTTATATAGAGGCTGTATGTCCTATAGATACAGGCTAGGGTCCTACTCGGGCGTGTCGTAGGAAACTGTATGTAGCTACACATGTGTGTCGGTGGGCGCTGCCGCAAACTAGATCACTGGAATATACTGGATATGATTTTCTTTTGTTTTTGATTAAGAGCTAAGTCTGTAGAATCACTCTCAAATGCTGATCTAATACTAAAACATTGTTCCATCGTAATTTTAAGGGGATATTAATAGTACTATTTTAAGAAATAATTACAACCAGAGGTCAACATTTTAAAAGAAATACGAATTTATGATTTCTGTTATTTATACTCAATAGCAATGTACCAAAGAGAGGTTGGAGATTGATAAGAATATGACATAGCCACAAACCCCTATGAAGAGTCAACACAAGTCAGTACACACATAACTCAACGATTGTCTATGCGTACTACTTTTATCGAGTTTATACTACACTTTGTTAAACCCAATATCTAGAAACACATCTAAATAAAACACCACCGTAATAAAACGTCGTATCCATACCATTCTAACCTCCACAGTTCAAAAGCCGTCCACGCTAAGAATTGGTATCAGAATAGTAAATAAATACATTTATAGTTCGCCATACCTGCGTTGTACATTCTGTGCAAATAAATTAACCTGAATCACGCTTCGGACCTTATTGAATTATTGTCTTTTGGACAATTAGTTCCATGCTTTCCGATCTAGGTAAGAACCTAATTATTCTTTAATACATCATAATTTCTGTAGTTTTTTTTATGCCCTTACCATAGAGCAATTATGTAATAAATAATAAATAATAAATAAACTTGTTGGTGTAATCGTGTTGATGGATGAATTGTATCAAAATTGCAACTTCCAAGAGCCTGATAAACAATGGACTAGATTAAAATAAAGTGGAGCTTTAGCTCCAACATAGAATAACCAAACATCGTATTGATCAATGAGTTTCCTCATTAGGCTTTTTGTAAAAATGCATTAAAAAAATTTAACGCCTTCATCCAGCAAAAATAAAGATTAATTCTTCGGTACCATACTTTGTAAACCAACTCAGAAACACAATCTAAGACATTAATACAAAAAACTAGAAGCCAATAAATATTAATACCTCTAACATGTTACACATTATCTCTTTGATATCACAACGAATTCGTATCGAATAAAAAACTTGTGCCACAATTGGGTTTCATAGGGCAATACCTAATACTTCTACGCCATAATAGATGCAAGAACCTATTGTGGCCATAAATATAGCCATGTGAAAATCGCCCTTATTGACAGTTTTGATTGGCCTGTGTTAGTCATAAATTGTTTCGCAAGAATTGAGCCAAATTTGGTGAGGATTGTTATCAAAATATAAATTTATCGACTTAGTGCAATGTTGAACAATTCTAGGCCGGAGACTTTTGACGTTTTGTACTTAACTGATCAATCTATAATATTGGTGTAGTAGAAGGTCTGAACCTGAGGTCACGCAATTGACTAGGTATTGACCAAATGAACGACATAATAATATATCCGTAAAGTCACATAGGTTATCGGCGCCTGCGCAAATCCCATTGTACTGCTATCTCTAAACGATGCAAGTACGAGACTTTTCCATAGAGAGCGCATACAGCATGCACGTTACATGTAAGACAACTTAAAAGCCTTGATACACTGTAAGATATATGATAATGACAATGCGTGTGCGCTTGACATAAAAGCATTCTAGACGCCCCCGCTTATCCTGTTATGGGGGTACTTTATACGTTTTGTTTGGTTATGCGAACAAGTATCAGGTGTATCGGAGGAACTTACAAATATTTTTTTATACTTATCGTCGTTAAAAGGTATTTACATGTTACTTTAGCATTAAGAATACTTATGTTTAATAGTAACTTCATCCTTTAGGTACTTCCTAAAATAGCGACCAGACACCGAGGAATGGGCTGTAGCATTCCATAAACACATTAGTAACCTAACTGCGATCCCTAAGCCGCCTGCCAAGCGTGGGGATTATGGTACCCTCCCCCCCTTCCTCCTAATGGGGAGGCCTTTGTCCAGCAGTGGACGTCTTCGTTGGTTGTTAATGATGATGATGAGTATCTTCAGTGATTCAATTTTTTTTTAACAAATGGCTGTCCAAGGCGTCAAATGATGAACAATCTATTGAAGCCTGAAGACGAAAAGTATGAATTTAAAGATCATTCTGCATAATTGTGAATGGTATAAGCATACTACCTAATTGAGAACTATCCTATTGATTTAGGCTAAATATAATATCAATGAATCACTACAAAGGTATTTGTATTAGCATAGTCTAAAATAGCTCTCAAACTCGTTAGCACTGAATTAAAATTAGATCTACTAACAAACCACACTGCAGTTGTTAAGGTGTGGTTTCATTGCGATACTACGTTTAGCCAAAATCAGATAACTTTACAATACAATTTTTGATTTAAAATAATGCGAATAACTTACGGCAAATTGATAAAATTTATACATTTGTGTAATTAATTTCTTGGTTCCTAAACATATGAAACGGACGAGATATTGAATTACGCTTAAATTAGTACTTCTGACATCTAAGATCTCAGTTTTTTTTTAAGATTGCTCCACACTGGGTTTTCTCCTGTGTTGTGGGTGCGTTTACAAACATACAAGTTCACATATACGTGACACCCAGACCCGATCATTTTACACTAAATTATTTACATTCAATACAAATAACATTCATAGTAAAACCACACTCTAAATCAAGGTGTGAGCGTCTACCGCATAGTCTCGGATGTCAAGTAGCAGTGACTCATCTATCCGAGATCATTGACCTCGCGGTTATCTCAAGCCTGATTGGGCAACTCTACCCAAGCTCAGTTGATACCACATGCACCAGTTTACATGCGATGTTGCAATTTATACGAGTTTTTACCTTATTTGCATACGTGATGAAGATTTAGACTTGTGAAATTATTTTGCATACTTGGAAGTAAGATATCAACCTCTTGATGAGGATAAGATTGCGTTTCGACAGTTAGTGTGTGGTATGAGGGAAACTATGTGACATTAAGATAAGAGGACAGGTTAACAGGTAGGTGATATGAACCAGTTGTAGCTATGTTGTTTTCAGTCAAATCTTATGAAATGTTACCATCAGGTGATCAGACTGCTCGTTTGCCTCCTATTCCATAAAAAAAATTAAAGCTAAAAAATTTGTGTTCATAGAAAATAAATAAAAATTATTGTCTATAAACGAAGAACTGTTGCTAACGGCTCAACATTTGCGAACTAACAAGGCCATTCTAGTTTTGATTCTCGTTGATCTAGCTAGATGGCGTTGTTTCATAGTATTTAAACAGAAAGTTGTTCTTTTTTAAATGTTCAAGAGTTATGTGTAGTATATATCTTCTATTGGTACTTTTTGTTCTTCTTACCTATATAATTATTTCCATATTTTAATTACATAATAACTAATTTAGAAAACCCATTTTTAAAAATTCCTTTACTGATCTTCTGGTTATCATCATCATCATGGATCATTTGAATGTATGTGTGTTTTCCGGGGAAATTGTAAAATTATAAATAAATATTATTCACACATTATTGTCGTGTTGTATATACATATTATTGTCCCGAATTAGTGCATTATCTTTTGATTTTTATTTAATTCCCTCACAGCTCTATCAACCATCAATCAGCTTTTGTTTTTTTTTAGTGTCCATTATTTCTTTAACTTTATTCTAAGTAAACTTTCATAGCTAGAATTTCAAATGATTTCCTAAATTAAGCCAGCATGTGATCCGACAAAATATAACTTCCTTACAATAAAAAATAATTTACTACCAGTGACGACAAGGGTAAAATAATTACCATAACATAAATCTTTAATATTGCTTTTAAAAAAACGACGCTTATAAATTAAAAAGGTGTCTTATTCACTTTTAATAATAATAAATCTTGCATTTCATTAATTTACATACTCACGTGCTCTGTAGCTGTTTATATTCTGAAGACATTGCTGAATAATTTACTGTGATAGGACAATTTGTCTCATACGATATGGTTATGTTTTTCGCATTTTTCACAAAGATGTACGAATGACATAGTACTGTGACCCCTGTCTTCAATTATTTGTCTAATTATTCCTCTCGATAGTGAGCACTGTGCATGAAATTGAATGGATCCAATGTAGGTTGCAAATGATATGCGTTCTCATCCTTATAGTACATGGCAAGCAGAAGATATATTGTTTTTATTAAAACAATCGTGAGATATATTGATTTGACTAAAAATGACAGTTTACACACGTAAGTATACCTCTGTGCCTCGAAACTCGTTGAGCTTTTCTCAGTATATTTACATTAGGAATCTGTATTTTTTAGTTAATTCACAAGCTAAATTACATAATTACCCCGTATATTCAGTGACGTCATAAATTTACTAATCCATTTTTAGAACCAAAGCTATGCAGCAATTATACCTACACATATGTAAGTGATATATCTCTATGATTGGGTAATTTGTCTCACATACAAATGTAAAATATGGTAGCAGCCATCAAGTAATAAACGAGGTACGCTCAGAGTTATGGCGTTGGTATTACATTAATTTTCTTAATAACCTTGTAATTGATATATTCGCCTTAAATTTTGCAATTGATCTACATTGAGTGTCATCAATTAACATTGATCAATTTCAAAGTAGATTATAAATGTTTCTTAAGATTGCCTTGTTCTATTTAGCACTTTTTTGATTGATCAATCCTATATATCCAAAAATGTAGGTAAGTGTCGTCTAGGTAAATGACACAGTGTTCAATGACACTTAACTCGATTCAACAATTGGTATTGAAGACTGTCAAACCCTCAACGCATTCATAAAATATTAATGACTTATTGATGGTCATCAAGTCTCCTCTAGGTAACGGTTCATCATAATCTCCATTGATTTAACTTATTCACAATATGAAAATCCAATCATCTACCAATACCTTATT